TGGATGAGACTCTGAGCAACCTGGGAGAGTGGAAGGTGTTGGAACTGGGTGGCCATTAAGGTCCCTTCCACCCCAAACCATTCCATGACTCCGTGATGTGATTCCCCCAAACCACTCTCTCAGTTGTTTGCTTTGTGTTCCCTCAATTCTGTCTTTTGGTTCTGTTCTTTCTGGAGGGGTCATGTTCATTCTCCAGTGGCCTTCTAGACCCCTCTGGACTGTGTTCTCAGCCTCCTGGTTGCTCTGAGAGCTGGAAGTGCTTTAGGAATTCCATGGGATTGTACTTTTTGAAACAGAAAAGCAGAGGATTCAACAGAGCAGAGGATCCCATGATCCTGGCTCTGGATCCAGTTCCAGTGGCCTAAGATGGAGGACTCTTTAACATGCTTTACTGGAGCCTCTTTACTAAGAATAAGAGTATTTTACACTTACATTGCAAATATGGTCATGAAATAAAGTTTTCAGGTAAAGCGTGAATTGGTAACTCCAACAGAGCTGTACAGGGACTGTGGATAAGGGATGGAGGGACAGGTCACAGGGAATGGCTTCCCACTGCCAGGGTTAGATGGGATATTGGGAAGGAATTGTTGTCTGGGAGGGTGGGGAGACCCTGGCACAGGTTGCCCAGAGAAGCTGTGGCTGCCCCTGGATCCCTAGGAGTGTCCAAAGCCAGGTTGGAGAAACCTGGGCTAGTGGAAGGTGTCCCTGCCCATGGCAGGGGGTTGGAACTGGATGATTTTAAGGACCCTTCCAACCCAAAGGAGGTCTCTTCTCCAAAAAGAGGAGGTTGCAAGAGTACACAATGAGTACAGGTACAAAAGAATGAGTTCTTTTGTTCCACAACAAAGCAAAAACAAAGCTGAGAAACATTATTTTACATGACACACTCGGTGCTTTCTGCTTTCTTGTTCAGCATGGACAAGTTCTACCCTGGTATTAATGAAATAATTATTGCTTTTTCCATCAGGCATCAAACTGCAGCGCTGCACTTGAACGTTCAGCAGAAACTCAATACAGCACTGAAAGAGCCTGAACAGGAGTCAAACAACGCTGTTAAATTACTGCTGCTCAATAAAAAAGACAAAGGGAGACGACAGCCAGCAAAATGAAACTTAGAGCTGTTCCCATATCTCCCGTTCCCTGCCATGATTGCGGCGGGATTTCGCTGCTCTGTGCGAGGCAGATAAACACGTGTTCCACGGGGCTGCAGGATGGCAGCTGCTGCTTCTGCCTGGGCTGTGACAGCAGATTTCTTCACCTCCCCACCCCCAGTGAAGGAA